GAGGCTGGGGGTGATGCTGCTGCTCCTTGGCCACCTCCCGGTGCCCCCCGTGTGGGCGCCCTCCGAAAGTGAGTGCTTTTGGTGGGGGGTTTTGGGGTGGGGATTGCCTGTGCTTGGGGGTCTGGAAGGGATAAACCCCGAGGCAAAGCTTTTGGGGTTTCCTGTTTGGTTTTGTTTCCTGTTTGGGTTTGCCCCACAATGATGCAGAATCCCCGTTTTGGGCAGGAGGGGCAAAGAGTGGGCGCTCCCTACAGCTGGGGTGGGATGAGGGGAGTGGAGTGGGGGGCTTGGCTGGAGATGGGATGTGGGGAATTGTCGCAGCTCCCTGTGCAGCTGCTGGGGTGGGAAAGGTTGGGGAGGGGGCAGCCGTGGGTCCTGGGTGTCATGGCCACAACAGGGGGTACAAGGAGGGTCTGTTGTTTGTCCTGCCTTCCCCTCTGCCTGCCACCCGTGCCTCAGTTTCCCCAGTCACCGAGGGGCTGTGGGAGCAATGGAGGAAGAGGATGAAGCACTCAAGGGACACAGGGTGCTGTGCCTGCTCCCACTGGGACCCCTACCCTCTGTCTGTGCTCCCAAGGGACCCCCTCGCTTTTTAGGGGGACTTTGCAGGGTCAGGGAGGTGATGGTGGCACTGGGGGTCAGTGCTGCAGGGGGACAGAGGGACCCTCCTGTCCTCAGAGAGAGGGGACATGGCTGGCAGTGAGGGGCTGAACATGGGGTGAGGGGCTACGGGCAGCTGCCAGAGGCACGGTGCCCATGGGGTCATGGTGCCCATGGGGTCATGGTGCCCATGGGGTCATAGTGCCCACAGTTCATGGGGACACCAAAAGGGGAAAATCACCACTGGGCATGAAGTCACAAGGACATGGCCATGAGCCTGAGCTGGCAGCAGGCAGATGGGGGGTGAACCACACACCTGATCCCTTCCAGGACCTGGCCCTGGTTTCTGGCTGGGGATGATGTCTATGGGAAGCTCTGTGCTTGGCCTGGCTCTTGCATCCCTGTCAGGATCAGGAAGCAGGAGGTGCTGGGGCTCCATTTCTGGGTGGAAAAGCCCCAGGACAGCCAAATTGGGGCTGGAGCAGTGCCACATGGACACCTGTGGTAGCCTTGTGTGCCCCATTACCTCTCTGGGCACGAGGGGGAGTTAATGGGGACAACCTTGCTGGAGCTGCCACTCACTGGATAACCATGAGTGGGGACATCCATGAGCACCCAGCAACTTGGGAAAGGACAAAAGCCATCTGCACCCCCAGACAGCTTCCCCAGGGCTGGGACGTGATTGTGGGGCTGACAAGGGGCAGGGCAGCCTGCCAGGCCTCGTTAGCATCACTGCTGACAGACATGCCATGCCCTGGAGAGCGGCTGCTGCCAGAGCTGCTCACATCTCCAATTCCAGCCACGCTTGACAGGCAGCACCAGGATATTAAACCCGCCTTGAGCATCCCCTGGGGGATCCATGGGTGGGGGTTTGGGGGTGTGGTGGTGTGGGAGTGGGGGATCTGTCCCATCCCTGCTGCCACCCACGGGGTCCCCCCTCTCGCCACCGCAGTCTGCGGCAGCATGGACATCCGCCACGACGTGTCCCAGCTGCGGAAGCTGGAGAACTGCTCCATCATCGAGGGCAACCTGCAGATCCTGCTGATGTTCACCACGGGCGCCGAGGACTTCCGTGGGCTCAGCTTCCCCCGGCTGCTGATGGTCACGGAGTACCTGCTCCTGTTCCGCGTCTACGGGCTGGAGAGCCTGCGGGATCTCTTCCCCAACCTCTCGGTCATCCGCGGCACCAACCTCTTCTTCAGCTACGCCTTGGTCATCTTCGAGATGCCGCACCTGCGGGACGTGGGGCTGCACAGCCTGGGCCACATCCTGCGCGGCTCGGTGCGCATCGAGCGCAACCAGGAGCTCTGCCACCTCTCCACCATCGACTGGGGGCTGCTGCTGCCCGACGGCGGGGACAGCACCTACATCGTGGGCAATAAGTTGGCTGAAGAGTGTGCTGATGTCTGCCCGGGCATCCTGGACGTGGAGAAGCCGTGCGTGCAGACCAGTGTTAATGGACAGCTGGATTATCGCTGCTGGACCTCCAGCTACTGCCAGAAAGGTGGGTGGCACTGCCACGGGGTCTGGTTGTGCTGATTTTTTGGGATGGTGCTGGTTTGTGGGGTAAACTGGGAGGGTGCTGGTGGTGTGGTTGTGGCTCCTCTGCTGCCGGGAGTGTGCTGTGCAGGCAGCACGGTGGGGTAACCAGATCCGTGCTGTATCATCCTCCGAGGAGAGGCCAACTCCTTGCTGCTGTGTTTTCCCAGCGCTGAGGTAAATACAGGCCCCTCCTGAGCTCGTTTTCTGTAAACAGGAGAGCTGGTAATGAAATATGTACTATAAACACAGATCCTTATCTGGACTGCAAGCTCAGCTCTGGGCCTGGCCTGGCTGCACTGGGCAGAGGGGGTTCAGCATGGGCTGAGCCCCACCTTGTCCATCTGTCTGTCCTGCTGTCCTTCCATGCAGCCCCTCATCCACCCAGCAGCCCACCTGCCCGGCCAGCCTCACTCATCACATGGCTCTCTGTCCATCCATTCCTCCATCCCTCTGGGCACCCTTCCATCAGTGCTGCCATGCCTTCATCCACTCCTCCATCAACCCATCCCTACCTCCCTGTATCTCTGTATCCTTCCCTTGCTCCCTCCATTCTTGCATCCTCACATCCCAGCATCCCTCCTTCTGTCCCTTCATCCTTCCTTCTGTCCTTGCATCACATTCTTCCCTTCATCCCACCATCCATCCCTTCATCCCTTCATCATATTCCTCCCTGCATCCCACCATCCCTCCCTCTGTCCCTGCATTCCTCCATCACCATCCTTCCCTCCCTCCCTCCCTGCATTCATCCATCACTACATCCATTCCCACGTCCCTCCCTCCCTCCCTTCATCCCCACATTCCTCCTTAACTAAATCCATCTCCACATCTTTCCCTGCATCCCTTCATCCTTCCCTCCAACTCTGCATTCCTCCATCACCAAATCCATCCCCACATCCCCACATCCTTCCCTATATCACTTCATCCCACCATCCCTTCCTCCCTCTATCCCTGTGTTCCTCCATCACAAAATCCATCCCATCATCCCACCATCCATCNTTCCTTTTCTATTCTTAGCATAGCAAGCTTCTGAGACTTTTCTCTCTATTCCTATTAGCATAGTCATACTGTAACATATATCATAAATTAATAAATCCAGCCTTCTGATCATGGAGTCAAGATTCTTGTCTATCTCCTCACCTCTGCAAGCCCGGGAACAGAATGGAGTACCCAGGATAAGCCTGAGCACCCAAACAGCCAAAAACAGAACAGTGTGCTATCCCCAAGTGCGCTGGGTTGTCCCCACAAAACAAGTTTCCAAAAAGAACCCTGACCCAACCAAACTCCCCCCATTTAAAGCCCACTTTGAGTCCAGGATTTGTCCATTTTGGATCTGCATGGTGATTGGTCCATTTCCAGGCTTCTCATTGGTATTTAATGCCGTTTATTCTGGACCAATCATTTCTGCAGGGCTTCGAATGATTGCTCAGATCTTCCATCCAATCCCTCGTTAACCTCGCTTTGCCCTGCCACCAAACCCTGGACCCCTCTCCTAGCACATTCTAATAATCCCCACTCTTAACATAATACAATTAACATAACATAACGAATACAATATAATTGAACTACACCCTAATTTAACATAACTTTTACCTCTAACAGGATCAGGGGTGGGGAGCTCTTTGACTTCATTGCNGCCTGAGGAGCCCCCCAGATCTGGGCAGGGACCCCCACCTCAGACCCCTCCCTCTGTGTCCCCCCATAGCTCTCCTACAACACCGTGTCCGCCTGCAACCGCCTGTGCCGCCTGGGGAGGGAGGATGAGGAGCTGGTGAGCCCCCAGACCCCACCCGGCAAGGGCTGGGGAGGGGGGAGAAAGGATTTGGGGGGGTCTCTTTCAGTATTTGGGGGAAGAAAGGATTTGGGGGGGTCTCCCTCCGTTTCTCTCTATGGCAATGCCCCCTGTGCTGCAGACTCCCTGTTTTGGGCATCCCTCCCATTGCTGGGGCAGTGTGATGGGGGCATGGTGTGGGGTGGGGGGCTGTGCACTGAGGGGTGCCCTCTCCTCGGGGGGAAGCCCTGGCCGTGCCCTGCAGCCCCCCTGTGCCCCCAGCGCCGCTGTGAGAGCGACCCCGAGGAGGAGAGGAGCCCCCAGACCGCTCTGCTGCGCCGGAGGAGAAGCAGCTGCTCCTGAGCTCCCCCCAAAAAAGGCAGGAGGAGCCTTGGGGTGCCCCCATCACCCCATCCAAAGGGGCAGAGGCACTGCCAGCTCCAGTTCTGTGGTTTTGGGGGGTCACTGGGGCATCAGCACCCCGCTCCTGCCCCTAGGTTTTGCCCTCCTCCCTGCTTTCTCCTAATGAGAAAAATAAATGCCACCTCCTCTTGTCCTGCTTCTCCTTCCTCTTGAGGGCTGCTCGTCACAGCCAGGCAGGTGCTGAGTGCCCGCAGCTTCCTCCCTTACTGCGGGGCTGCTCTTCTGTGGGGACCCCAAAAGTCTCCTGGCACCCCCGATTCACCCTGCCAGGCACAGTGACCCTTAAATTGTCCCTTCTGTGCTATTCCATGAGTTTCTGGCTGCTTTCCCGGTGTCCCCCCCCGCTGCCAGAACCACTCGGAACCTCCCGCTCCGGCTGGGGAAACTGAGGCACGAGGCAGCTCTTCCTTCCCACCCACTCGGGCGCGGGGGGGGCGCGCTGTTTTTTTTCCCCCTCTTCTCTATTTCCCAAACATGCCCTGGCCCTGGCCCTGACAGTTGTCAGGCTAAATATTTTGTGTGCGGCAGCCGAAAACAAAAGTGAAGGGNGGGCTGGCCCAGCAGCTGCAGGATGGCATCACCTACAGGAGCCTCTGTGGGACCCCCCAGTACATTGGTAGGGGGCTGGCACATCCCTGGGGGTCCCTGCACTCAGCCAGGGGTGGTGATGGGACCCCCAGACATGCTCCTGTCCCCCTGATGTCCCACCCTGGCTCTGTTTGCCCCCAGCTCCTGAAGTGATCAATTATGAACCACTGAGCCCTGCGACCGACATGTGGTGAGGATTAGAACCTTGGGGGGCAACAGGCTGAGCTGGTGGGTGGGGAGAGCCCCCCCTGGGTGCCACAGGGCATGGGGGGGGGGCCCAGGGAGGGCAGCACCTGACCCCCACCCCTGCATTTCAGGAGCATCGGAGTCATCACCTACATTCTGTGAGTATGGGGCAATGCTCTCTGTGGCTGGGGGAAACTGAGGCACAGGGACGCTGTGGGTGCTGGTGCTGTCCTGGCACTCAGTGGCTCTGTTGTGTCCCCACAGGCTCAGTGGCCTGTCCCCCTTCCAGGGTGAGACGGATGCTGAGACGCTGTCCAACGTTGTGGCGGGTGCCTACGAGTTTGAGGAGCGCTGCTTCAGCCAGACCTCCGAGCTGGCCAAGGATTTCATCCGCCAGCTGCTGCTGAAGGAGCCACAGTGAGGCCCCAGCCCCATCCCTTCCATCTCCTTCCCATCTCTGCCCCCACCTACACCTCTGTTATCCCCACCACCAAAATCTCCATCCCCATCTTCATCGTTTCTATGCCCATCTCCATCCCATTCTGGTCTCACCTTCATCCCCATCCCCACCTCCATCGTCCCTATCTCTCTTTCCATCTCCATCCCATTTCTATGGCTATGCCCATCCCTATGTCCATCCCCATTCCCATCCCATCCCATCCCATCCCATCCCATCCCATCCCATCCCATCCCATCCCATCCCATCATCTGCATCCCCAAGCCATCCTTATCTCCTTCCCATCTCTATTTTCCATCTCACTCTCATACCCATCTCCATCCCCACCATCTCCACCTCCATCTTGTTCCCTTCTCCATCCCCACTAGCAAAATCCTGATGCTGAGCCTACCCCTGAGCCTAGCCCTAACCCTAACCCTAACCCTAACCCTAACCCTAACCCTGACCCTACGCTTGACCCTAAACATGACCCTGACTCTAACCCTAACCCTGACCCTGATCCTGACCCTGACCCTAACTCTGAACCTGACCCTGATCCTAACCCTAACCCTAACCCTAC